TTCAAATATCTAGTTGTCATGTGATTGTCGGCTTACCTAGTAAGTGTGTTAGGCGCCATCACGACAGGTTGGAATTTTGGGTCGCGACACCCCCTTGTCTCACCGCGTGCGCAACAATAAAGTAAATGCTCATCTTGTCTCGCCTCACGCTCATCATCAATTATCTCACCTTGTCTCGCCACATGCGCAAATCTGATATTTATATATATAGCCCGCCTTGTCTCACCGTATGTGTAATATCAACAATAAAAATAGCACGGTAGAATTGGCAGTGCATTGAAGGTTTAGAACAAGGTTTTATTCGACATGAGGTTTGTTATCGGTACCGGCTTTGTTAATGGGTAGCTGTTATGGTCGGGAGTTATTGTTATGAGTATGTGAGTTATGTGGTATATCATGTTATTATATCTTGGAATATGGTTATGTCTTGATATTGCTTGTTCAGACTTATTCAGTGTATAGATACAAGAATCGGGTTTTATAATGAATTCTCGATGTTAGAGATGGGGTTCCAAGGTTTATGGACTAAGGTTGAAGAAAGAATCTTCGGTTGTGTGATGTTGACGGGCTTATGTGGATTGAGGTAACGTTGGATCACCCATGGGTAAGTGTATGGTGAGTTTATACGGAGTTTTGATGGCTTTGTAATGACTTTTGGCATATTTGGGGATGAACATATGTTTAAGTGGGGGAGAATGTAATGATCCGAATGGTCGTTTTGAATATTAACATTTTCGTTCGGTGATTTGAGGTCTTGAGTATCTTCATATGATATATTATGATTTGCGTGTATGGTCTATTTTGATTTTCGAGTGGTTCGGGATTTATTTGGAAGAATGATTCTCATTTTTGAAGCTTTAAGTTGAAAGGGTTGACCAAGTTTGACTTTTGTGTAATTGACCTCTGGTTGAAGTTTTGATGGCTCCGTTAGGTCCGGATGGTGATTTTACAGTCAAGGGACATGTATATATTTTCTATAGCGCGTAGGCCTATATTACTCATTTTGAATTTTAGAACAATAAATATTTACATTGTATTCAAGGGGTAGTAACTCATATCACGAGAGGAAACTTTGTGCATAGTTCTATTAGTGTTGATGGGTCGCTCTACGATTTCTTATAGGTACAGGCATCCTAGGTAATTCAATCTTATGGTTCTTCATTATCTGTAAATGGCCTTTTTTCCCTAGGTGGTCATTTTTTCTGGGCTTTTAGTTTAATGTTTTTATTCAGTATTCAGTAGACGTAGTTATTGGCGCAACTTAGGTGGAAGGCGGGGGAGGGGGAAGAAGACCCAGCAGTGACACACCACTCTGAAAGAGCTAGAATATTCTTACCTTATGGCAAGACCTACAGGCCAAGGGACATGTAAACAATTTCTATGGGGCGTAGGCCTATATTACTCAATTTGAATTTTAGAACAATAAATATTTACATTGCATTACGGGACAATTAAATATTTACATTGCATTGCGGGACAATTACAACAACAACAACAACAACAAACAACAACAACAATAACAACAAACCTAATGTAATCCCACAAGTAGGGTCTGGGGAGGGTAGTGTATACGCAAACTTTATGTCACAACCAAAACCGATGGGCTATGACGAGTGCCCGAGTCCTACCTGTCGAACACCCCTAAACATGCGTCAAGATATAAACATGAATTAAGGGTAGGTCATGAATAACATATGTCAATAAACTGCTGAATTATGTGAATAACATACGTGAGGAAAACATGTCCAAAAGACATATATACATATACATGCGGAATACGGTAGGGCGAGCCGACAAGGCTGCTATAGACAATTATATATCCAAAACTGGAAGCCGACAAGGCCACATACTATCCAACTATACATTACTGTCTACAGACCTCTAATAGAATGTACAACTGTATAAAGGACGGGACTAGGCCCCGTCGTACTCATATCTACATACCAAAAATAGCGTACCAAAACTAGTAACAACTCTGGATCAAGTGGAGCACACCAACTCTCGCTGATCAAAGATCCTAAAAAGGGGGACCGTCCGCCTGTCTACCTGCACCTGCGGGCATGAAACGCAGCATCCCTGCATAAAAGGGACGTCAGTACGAATAATGTACCGAGTATGTAAGGCATGAAAATCAGTACATAAAAGACATAGAAGAAACATAGAGTAAAGGAATCCACCTGTAAGTCTAAATAACTTTGTGAATCCTGAAATATTTATAAGTTCATGCATGTGCGTATAAATGTCGTTTCATGCATAGGTATATGTGTACATAACATCATCAAGCCTCTAAGGGCATCCCGTCATATCATCTTGGCCTCTGTGGGCGAAATCATCAACATATACCAACTGATCAGGTAGTGGTGTGTATATAACGCCGTAACCTTTTCCCATATCCCATATATATATATAATATACGCATATATAACATCATCTGATCATGGGTCAATATACATGTATAAATGAATGAAATGCATAAGAAGTATATTAATAAGATTTCTCGGAATGTCATAAGATCAATATGTCTTCGGATAAACTTTATCAACTACGTATTTTTCTAAGACCCATGAACAAAAGATATAATAAGACACATGGGAAATCAAGAATATAGGCACTCCTAGTGCTTCTATGAATAGAGGCATTTATGAAAGTTGTGCGTTTACTCGTTTCATTTATATCGTATGGATCATGCCAAAAGGAAAAAAGGGATAGCCTTAACATACCTTAACCGATTCTCTTGATAATCCCTCTAACACACGTCAATCGCGACAAAACATGTAACTGCGAGATCGAAGTAGGAAAAAATCAGTATGATATTCTTGAGAAAGGTTATACCGGGCTCCCTTAGAATTGCAAATCCCGATGCTATTTTGTAATATAATCTCGTATGAATTTGCTGAAACTTTCCTCCATTACATTGTAGATAAGGTCTTTTATCCTAGTGGGTGTGGGGCCCACTTATGTGATGACTTGGCCACAAAATTCTCTAAGTGTGCCAGCAAGTTACATGAATTAAGAGTCATTAATTGGGCTTTGAGTAAGACTCCATTTGTTGCCACGTTGGGAGGCTTATCAAGCTTATCCAAAGCTTCTAATTATTTAATTAATCTCCCACTAAAAATTAATAATTACCCAATTATCTACATAATTAAGAATTATCTCAAATTACTTAAAATACTAATCACTTTTAACACACTTTATATCCCTTACTATCATGGTCATGTGGTACCTTGTATGGCACTAGTCCATAAATATCGGGTATTATAGCTTGGACCGTATTTTAACCCAAATTGACAAACTTCAACGAATACTCATTCTTTGATCTGTTTACCCTCTAATCTTCATGGCACTTATCGCATGTTATAAATAGCATAAATGTTTATAACCTCAAAAATAATCTCATTCCCGAGTCTACGTCGATTAACTTACGATGAAACTTTAACGTACGAAATGCGGGATGTAACACTTTACACCTACCTTGTGAAGGTAGAGATGTTGTTTCTGATAGACCCTCGGCTTAAGGAACACTAAACAGGAAGCAACCAACAATAACAACAACAACAACAACAATAAGAAAAAAATAAAGACACTACATATAATAACAAAAATCTAAAAAAGGATATACAAGAATACTACTAGCAATACTGGTAAGAATGAGACAACATGAAAAACTTCTTTTTTATCTCAAGAACTAAAGGAAAATATTTTTGGTCCCTCATAAAAAAATTGGTTGGTGAATGTCAGAGCTATAATAAGCTTCTATAGTTCTATTGCCTTGCGAAAAGTTTCAACTTGTAGATTCTGTAATGGTACTTCGAATTAGAGGGTTTCTGCACTGTTTCAGAAAAATAGGAATACAAGTGGTCTGGGAAAATTGAGATTTGGAGAAAAAAAGAGAGAATGTGGAAGAAAGCAATGACGTGGCAACCCCAAACTAAACGTTTGGAAAAGTTTGGAGACACTCCTGAGTACACCACTTTTGGTGTTTATGGGCTATAAATTGTCTTCAAAGTTAGCTAGATTTAGTGAATATTTGTATTATATGTGTCTCAAACACCGCCAGTTACTTAAAGTCGTGTTCCGAGCGGATTGATTGTCTTAAACACCACCAGTTAATATGGTGGTCACAGAATTTCTAGGTTACTTAAATCAACAATTGGCTATCAACCTCCAAAATTGCAACAATTTGATCTACTAAAAAATAATGTGAAATCAGAAAGAGTCCTATGAAAGTATGCATTATCTAGTGTTTTTGAATTTTCCATCTTAAGAAATACTACTCCGTATAATATTATTCGGGTAAAAAGAAAATCAAAATTTTTGCTATAGAAAGTAACAGATTAACAAAAGATGCAACGTAATAAGTTTTCTTCCATTAGTCTAACACTCCTAGGTTCGCGGTTATCATTGATATGAGAAAATGCACATAAAATAAACGCTATATCAAAGAACACTAGCAATTGTGAAAAACAACCCATCATTAAGCACTAGAACAACCAATTATGTGACGCTTCTCTTACCATACATATCCAAAGCTAAGTAACTTTTAGGCTTTTCTTTTTTTACATTAATAGTATCACCATTGTGATGCGAGGTTAGACATTGACCTCAGCCTGTATATTAAAGAACACAAAAAAGAGTAGTTCTTTACCTGAGGAGTTGCCAGAAAACTAGGCTAACCAACTCAATAAAAATATGTGGAGAACAAAACAGGGAAATACATAAAAGCTCAAACGGAAAAGTTTGTGCGGATCAAATATTCCATCACCAAAAGATGTGGCTAAACGTTGAAGGAATTTTTGGTAGTCCTAATTCTGAAATTTTACAAGTTGAATTTTGTCATTCTTCAAAGTGCTACCCCCATAAAGAAGGTAGAAGTCTTCCTACGTAAACTCCAGTACAATTTACTACTAGCCTTTAGCATTTATCCAGATTGCTTTACAAGTAACTTGAACGTTAAAGCAAATGCAATCCAATTAAAAGGATTCTGGAGAATCATAATGGACTTCAGGAAAGACAACGATTAATTCATCAAACATTCAATCTCAAGAAAACTACTAGTCAGGAGTGACAATTTGCCCTTGCAATATCAAACATAATATACATCCAACAATCAAAATAGATCTAATTCAACTACAACGTAAGCAAATGATTACTATTCTCTGACAACTGTGTGCATTCAGATTGCAGAAGTCGCACCTTAAGGGCAAAACTTTTGAAAAAAACAGCATTGATTAGCATTAAAGAACATGCGAACAGATGCACATATCAAAATGGTTTTTCAGCTGCAGTCTGGGCTCGGGAAGTAATTCCGTGCACTCATTAGATATCTCATTCAGGAATTAGCTGGTCATTGTCTGCGTCATCTTCGCCCTCAACTTTTGGCTTAGATGGACCTTGGCTTGCTCCAGGGGCCTGTTTCTTCTTGATCCCACTTACAATATCATCAATTCTCAGGAGTAAGCAAGCAGCTTCAATGGCAGTTTTGAAAGCCTGCGCTTTCACGGTGTAGGAATCCCATATCTGGAATTTTAATGTTTCTTGAATTAATAGAAGTGGTGAAGTTTATCATTATCAGTCAAAGGTCAAAAAAGTGATAAAACACACTTAGGATGCTGCAAAGATGACAGGAACTCATCAAAACTCGGTATAGTTTCCATGATGACAGAAGCTTTTCCTTTTTGTTTGTTAGTTTCTTCTTTTTTCTTTTGGAGGAGCAGCGGTTAAAGGTGTTTGCAATGGTGTTTGAGGAATTTAATATCATACCTTCTGCTCTTTCATATCAGCAATCTCACCAGTATTCCCATCTATGCCTATCCATGCATTCTCACCATTTGCATGCTATAGTAATACGAAATGAGTTAGATGAAATGCAAGCAAATGCTAAAGTAGCAATTCCACCTCAATAATATAAATCTTTCACCTTTCCTTGGAGCGCCGTCATTGTACGAATAACATTCACACCACAGTTCTGAGACAACGTACGTGGAATAGCTTCAAACGCTATTGCAGCAGCTTCATAAGGCCACTGAAATTTGAGAATTTAAGGGCAACCAATTTAGCATCCTCACTTTAGCCTTTTCAATTTCCATAAAGCGTCATTGTACACGCTATATTCATGAATTGATTTCATAATAAAAGTTGCTATAAGTTGAAGTACATAGTTTACCTTTTCAATGCCTTCAATAGATGAACTTTTCTGCTTCAACATAGCAGATACAGTCAACTCTGTTGCACCACCACCAGGAACTAGTTTAGGATTCTTGATGATGTTCCTAGCGACAGACATTGCATCCTGTAAAAAGAAGCATATAGAACAGCTCAAGATAATGCATTTTGTGTAAAAGCTACTCGGCTATACAATTTTAGGAAATACCTGTAGGTTTCTTTCTACTTCATTCAGTAGATCTTTACTGGCACCCCTTAGGAGGACTGTACATGCTTTTGGATCCTTGCAATCAACAATGAAAGTGAAGAATTCATCGCCAATTTTTTTCACCTCAAAGAGACCAGCACCAGTACCAACATCAGATTCCTGCAACTCATCAGGTCTATTGACAATAACTGCCCCACAAGCTTTGGCAATTCTATTGTTGTCAGTCTTCCTTAGCCTTCTGATTGCACTGACACCAGCCTTGCTCAGATAATGGCATGCCAGGTCACTAAGTCCTTTTTCAGTAATAACAACATCTGGTTTGAACTTCAATATCTGTGCACACATGTTCTCAATGTACTCTTCTTCCATCTTCAATAAGACATTCCAATCTTCCTCTCTAAGCAACTCTGCATTGGTTTGGTTCTCGCCTTTTTTGTACTCCAAAGGAGAATCAAGAAGAATGATGCGAGGATTCACAATCTTTCTTCTCATTTTGCCAGGGGCAACTACATCTTTGTTCATCATAACTCCTTTAAGCACTGTTGAGTCTTCCAACTGCCCACCAGGTACCTTCTCCACCTTAATGTACTTCTTGATGTCCACCTCACGCAACCCTTGTCCAACTTCCACACCAACAATTGTTGTGGCATCAATTGCCAAATCCTGAGATAGATAAAAAGAATCAGCCCAGAAATAGATAAAAAGAATCAGCCCAGAAATCATCTGAATAAAAATATATGCGTCATTTCATCATAATCTACTTTTAAGACTTCTATAAATGTGAATCCTATATTCCTCCTCAAGTTGCAAATAGTGACTTTAATAATCATCAAATTCACATATTAAGTAATCAAAAGCATATATGGCTGTAAAAATATAACTAACAAAGGCCTTCACGGTCAACTAGTAAGTAACAATTGTCTGCTAGATGTACATTTAGGCAGGTAAGGTGGTTTGGAAAGCCCTATTGGAAAAAGAAGTATCAAAGAATGAGCATGCTTCTTGGAGATTTCCTAACTGAATTAAGCATATTACATCGCTTCAATATAAGTGGATGCACATTATTCATAGGTAAACCTAACATGCAACAACTTATTCTTGTATATTTTGGTGGTTATCAATAATAAGACAGAAGAAACCCAATAACACTCGATTGCAAACAGTCAAGGCTCATGAACTGATGCAAAGCTCCAGCAAGTCTTGGAGGACACCGAAAGAGCCTCTTTGGCCAATATAATACAGTTTCTTGCAGAACACTTAAAGTCTTAAATCAATGGAATCCATGATGAAAAACAAGTTCAACTGAAAAATCCTCAGTTCTAAACAAGATAGCTTACAGAATACTCAACACCAGATTCCGCACTTGATATAGATTTTTTAATTATTTCTTTTCGGTTTATTTTTTGGCAAAAAAGAGTAGGTAAATGCAATCAAACTACTACTTACTGCAATCAAATCCCCAAATTGACTAGTAAACTTTGTGCCAATGCAGCTTTTCACCAGCCCCAACATTGTTGCACCTATCACAATTTGAACATATTGTGAGTAATAATGCATATCATAGAGCATATTCAAAGAAATTATGAATGAGCTTCAATAACACCATAGAGACCCTTGCCTAGGATTTTAACTTGCACTTCCCTTTTCTTTCAGATACATGAGCAAAAATACTATACACTTGGACAAAGAGAATAATCTGATGCATAAAATGATTGTGAAGTCTCCAAAAGTTTACTCATACCCGATTAAACAGAACCATTTCACAAAAAAATGATTTTCATTGACAATGGCAAGTAGATCAGATGATAATGCCCCTTATTAACAGCAAAACTTCTAACTTCTCAGGCCACTGTAACTATGCACTTGTGCCCACATATTATCAATAGAATTTCAAAGGAAACAACCGACTCAGATTCCATTTCTAAGACAAAGTTCTAGCACCCAAAAATAACCAGGATTTGGCTGAAAGCAACACTCTGCAAACACTCTGCAGTACTGCATAGTTACAGTGGGAACTGCAGAGTGTTGCAAACACTCTGCAGTACTGCAGAGTGTTGCAGAGCAAAGTACTGCAGAGTGTTGCTAATAATCAGCCAAAGCAACACTCTGCAAACAAATAACCAAAAATGCTGAAAGTTTCAGATTATTAAAGAAGCCATTAAACATCACTCGGGCATTCATATAACCTCCTCCCTCCCACCTCCCAAAAGAAAAACTTTACATGACTCCAAATATGACATACTAAAAAACAGATTTAAAAAAAAAGACTAAAAAGAAGATGTACTCCCTATAAAGCTGACAAAGAACCAATAGAAGGGTTCAGAAACCTACGGTCCTTGACATCAATGGTCATTGCAATCTTGTCAAGCACAGCAATTGCATCCTCCAGCGCTTTACCATAAGCTGCTAACAGGAGTGCTAATTAAAATCAGGAATTATGGGACATGAGACAAAAGTATTTAGAAGACATACTCTACCTCGACATATCACAGTAGGATGATACTTCTTGTCAATAAAAGCTTCCGCAACATGGAGCATCTCGCCAGCTTCAACCATATTGGAAAAATATAAAAAAATGTTAAAAATCAGAAAAAGTGAAAGCACTTATTTGGTTAGAACTGTAATCCATTATTTTATCAACATCATACAGGCCCTGAAACCTAGTAATTATGTATAATTATCAGCTAATATGGGAAATCTAAGGTAAAATTCAAGAATAAATCCATACAACATATACCCCCAACAAAGTGAAGTCCATGCTAAATATGGTAATTCAATATTTGGGTAAAAAGAAAAGCGATAAATATGAAGCTTATTAGTTCAGCTAATTGGATTTCATTGTTTAAAAACCTTGCACTCTATTAGGCTTAAGGGAGATTAGGAGAGAAAACTAACTTATCAATTTCTCTACCTCTCCTGTTAGATTGTTTGGTATAACTCGAACAAACCAAATGATATTAACCTCCCCCTTATGGTCCAACATTGGAGGGGTTAGAATATTTGATGAGGGGTTCCCACCCTTTCACCTCAAGTTTCTTCAATTATGCCCTAATAAAACCAACCAAACGACTATGAGCACGTCAAGTATCAACTTCAGGACAAGGTAACAAGTGAAGTGATGGTTGATTCGTTGATTGATTTCCATACGCGTTGACCTCATCGCTTGAGATTCTATAATGTCTCAATCTTTTATTCTGTATTATCCTCCTTTGCTTTGTGTTTCTAATTATCCGATGATGATATAGTATTGATTGATGAGACGTGAGGCGGTGTTTGAAGACAGATCCTAGAGTCTAAAAGTTTCAAGTGAGCATGACTAAGACAGAATACTTGGAGTGCAAGTTCAGCGACGTGACGGTGGAAGACATGGACGTGAGGCTTGATTCACAAGTCATCCCCAATAGAGAAAGTTTCAAGTATTTCGGGTCAGTTATCCAAGGGAATGGGGAGATTGATGAGGATGTCACACACCGTATAGGGGCGGGGTGGATGAAATGGAGGTTAGCAACCGGTGTCTTGTGTCACAAAAATGTGCCACCAAAACTTAAAGGTAAGTTCTACAGAGTATTGGTTAGACTGATTATGTTGTATAGGACAAAGTATTGGCCAGTCAAAAACTCTCATAACCAGAAGATAAAAGTAACAGAAATGAGGATGTTGAGATGGATGTACAAGCACTCTAGGTTGGATAAGATCAAGAATGAAGATATTCAGGTGAAGGTGGCGGTGACCCCCTGATGCAAGATCATGAAGGTCAAGAATCCAAGAAATTCAAGAAGTCCAAGAATCCATTCAAGATTAGAATTTCTTTTCCATAAAGATTAGGATTTCTTATTTCTTATTTCTTGTTTCCTAGTAATTTGATTCTTGTTTTAGTGGGATTATATTTATAGTTCTAGTCAAACTAGGATTGTTAGTTGGTAGTCCATTCCTACTAGAATTATTTTTCCTATTTTAGTTAGGATAGGTTTTCTTAGCCTTACTTATTCTTATTCTAGTTTAATTCGGATTAGTTTTCCTTGACCTTATCAATTTTACTCATTGTAAGGCCGATTTAAAGGGCTCAATATGCTAAAAATAAACATGGGTGATTAGTTTTTCTAAGCTCTTACTTCAAAAACGTGATTTACTTTATGTTTCATTGTACTTCCTTTATTCAACGCTTTTTGCAATCTTGCGGGATTGAAGAACATGTGAGGGGTTTCTTTTTATCTTACAGTCTTCTAACGTGAGTTTGAAGAAAGCTTTCTCGCTAATTTTGTGAAAAACTTTAGCGGGTTGCTTTTGTTGTTCTCTCTTCTTTGTGCTTGAGCAGTGCAAATTTGGTATCAGAGCGCAAGTTCCAGGTTCGAATTCTTGATTTGCTACCTTTTTCATCGTGTCACCAAACAAGAAATAGCAAGTTCGAGATCCTCTTCAATGGATCTTCAATTAAAATTCAGAAATTAAGAACTACAGTCCTTGAACGAGACAATAAAAAAATTAAAATGCAGCTACATAGCTTGGCGGAATCAATGAGGCATCTTACTGAATTGGTTGAAGGTTTGGTGCTTCAGAAAAACCAGCTACCAAATCCACCACAGCGCCTACAACCTCCACCGCCACATAACATACCAGTGTTTACCACCACGTCTACCACTTTTATATCCATCAATACAACCGTGTAGAGCAAGATATATTGAGCATGATGAAGAGGTTGAATCTGACCTAGGCATAAGAGTACCAAGGCACCATGCCGAATATGATAAATTTTTGAATAATCAAGGGAGTGAAGAGGACGAAACGGATGAAGACCATTATCAAAGAGATGAAAAACATGCATTCCAAAACTTGAGGAATTACCACCAAAGTTTTATGACGATCCATTGGATTATCCAACTATTTGTGTCGTTGACTTTTCGCCTTTCATAGATGCTCAACACAATATTGACTTGATTGTTAACTCTATCATCCCAAACAAGTCTGCATATTGCGTTAATCCTAAAGTCCATAAGAATGCATGAACAAGAGGAAGGATTACCTATAAAGGAGTGGATAATGGAGAGTTTGAGTCCATATATTGGAGAAACAAGATGTCTTAACATCATAAATATATATTGCTATCATCAAAGGAATTGTTGGTGTATAAGCGATGCAATTGATGCATTCCAAAGAAGAGCGTTGATAAGCTAGACATAGGGTTGGTTAAATTCAATGAAGTTCTAATACCAATAACTTCATATCATAAGTTGAAGTAAGATAGTCTACATAGAAAGATTACATGGAGAAGACTATGTAGAAAATTGAAACTTATAAAGTGGGATTTAGTTCGACCACATGCTAAGTTTGCTTACAACGTGAAAAAGCTCAACGATAAACTAGCAAAATGTAACTTTTAAAACCTGGTGAGTATTGGGTCCCCATTTTTTTTTTCACCTTGGGTCTCCATTCTTACTATAAAAAATCTTGCGCCATCTATCGAAGTTGTACCGGGGGAAGAATGATTCAAGATCAAGAAGGTCAAGAATCCAAGAAATTCAAGAAGTCCAAGAATCCATTCAAGATTAGAATTTCTTTTCCATAAAGATTAGGATTTCTTATTTCTTGTTTCCTAGTAATTTATTCTTGTTTTAGTATGATTATATTTATAATTTTAGTCAAACTAGGATTGTTAGTTAGTAGTCCATTCCTACTAGAATTATTTTTCCTATTTTAGTTAGGATAGGTTTTCTTAGCCTTATTCTTATTCTAGTTTAATTAGGATTAGTTTTCCTTAACCTTATCAATTTTGCTCATTGTAAGGCCTATTTAAAGGACTCAATATGCTAAAAATAAACATGGGTGATTAGTTTTTCTAAGCCCTTGCTTCAAAAACGTGATTTATTTTTTGTTTCATTGTTCTTCCTTTATTCAGCGCTTCTTGCAATTTTGCGGAATTGAAGAACGTGTGAGTGAGGTTTCATTTCATCTTACATTCTTCTAACGTGAGTTTGAAGAACGCTTTCGCTAGCTTTGTGGAAAAATTTAGCGAGGTGCTTTTGTTTTTATCTCTTCTTTATGCTTGAGAGGTGCAAGATCAAGAAGGTCAAGAATCCAAGAAATCCAAGAAGTCCAAGAATCCATTTAAGATTAGAATTTCTTTTCCATAGAGATTAGGATTTCTTATTTCTTGTTTCCTAGTAATTTGATTCTTGTTTTAGTAGGATTATATTTATAGTTCTAGTCAAACTAGGATTGTTAGTTGGTAGTCCATTCCTACTAGAATTCTTTTTCTTATTTTAGTTAGGATAGGTTTTCTTAGCCTTATTCTTATTCTAGTTTAATTAGGATTAGTTTTCCTTAACCTTATCAATTTTACTCATTATAAGGCTTATTTAAAGGGGCTCAACATGCTGAAAATAAACATGGGTGATTAGTTTTTCTAAGCTCTTGCTTCAAAAACGTGATTTACTTTTTGTTTCATTGTTCTTCCTTTATTCAACGCTTCTTGCAATCTTGCGGGATTGAAGAACGTGTGAGTGAGGTTTCTTTTCATCTTACATTCTTCTAACGTGAGTTTGAAAAACGCTTTCGCTACTTTTGTGAAAAACTTCAGCGGAATGTTTTTGTTTTTCTCTTATTTGTGCTTGAGAGGGGCAAAACTTTGAAAGTACATCACCCTCATGGAGGTCAAGATGCGGGAAGCGAGACTTAGATGGTTCGGGCATGTGAAAAGAAGAAGCTTAAATGTCCGAGTTAGGAGGTGTGAGCGGTTGGCTTGGGTGGGTATGAGGAGAGGTAGAGGACAATCTAAGAAATATTGAAGAGAGGTAATCAGGCAGGATATAGCAAGACTTCAGCTTGCCAAGGACATGGCCCTTGATAGGATGGTGTGGAGGTCGAAAATTAGGGTACGAGGTTAGTAGGTAGTCGAGCATTTTTCTGTTCCATACCCAATTTTTAGGGCTAGTCTGATAGTGTCTTGTTCAGTTGTTCTTAGATTACTAGTATTGCTTTCTCCCATCTATTTTACTGGCTCTTAGATTGTTGGTATTATCTTCCTGGCCTTTGTTGTTGTTGCTCGTTTCTACTGTTCTCTTATCTTCCAGAGCCGAGGGTATATCGGAAATAACCTCTCTACCTCCCAAGGGTAAGGATAAGGTCTGCGTACACACTACCCTTCCCAGACCCACTAGTGGGACTCCACAGGCAGGGGCGAAGCTACCTGAAACTAAGGGTGGTCAACTGACCACCCTTCGCCGGAAAATTATACTCCGTATAAGGTAAAATATTACTTGTTATTGATTAAAAATAGGCTTTGAACACCCTTACATAGCCCACTGGCAAAAGTTTGAACACCCTTGTTGAATTTTCTGGCTTCGCCACTGTCCACAGGGTTTATTGTTGTTGCTTTATGTTTCTAATGTTCCCAAGTTCTCACTTGACGGATTTGCTTTTCTTTCTCCAATATTTCCTTCTTCCCAAATTCCTTGTTCATCAAAGCCTTCCAACATCATCTCACCATCTACTCACTCGGCAAAAGACACATCACCAGGCATCATTTCCAATACCCCCATTATCACAACCATGTTCTAAATATTTCAAAGAAATTGCAAATATTTAGATTCAGAAGGGATTAAAAACACACTTTTCTTCAAGGTTACTTTTTGGCGCAGACAGGCATGTACTCGAGTTCTGATGCATTCATTTTTTATTTCGTTTCGTAAATTTCATTTTAGTTCCAAATACTAGAATTTAACAAGAGAAAATCACTGGGATAAGTTTAAAATGGAACAAAGAAAGAAGCCAAAACCAGACACGCACATACACTTATAATTGTGTTTGTGTATATGTGTGTATGTGAGTGTACATATGTATATATTTATATGTATATGTAAGGAGCAAATCCACTTGCATCGTATATCCAACACAATTGGACTCCATAATCACTTAGAAGAATGATACTAAGAATGTAGGTAATTCATGTGGAGACATGATAAGCAAACAAACTGCATGTCAGCAATTTAGTGATAAAACAAACAATTGAAAGGACAAAAACTAAATCAAACATACCTAGGACAATGACTGATGTAGTTCCATCTCCTACTTCTTCATCTTGGGTACGGCTTAGTTCAATCATGGACTGCAGCATCCCAGAGACATACAGGTCATGAACGGGGGAAAAGGAAAGATAGTATCCAACTGAGTGATCGACGCAATTCAAAAAGCAATTGGCAAATGGTATACTGTTAATATGCAAAACCAACATCCCTGAGCCAAAAAAAGGAACGTAGAAGAACACACACACACAGAGACTATACCTTTGCAGCAGGGTGTGCAAGATCTAACTCACGAAGAATTGCATTTCCATCATTGGTTACTACAATTCCTGTACATAACAGAAGGGGAAAAAGAGTAAACTCAACATCAAGTACTATATGGAGAAACAGCATGAGCAAGTCATATGCATAGGAAAAGATTCTGATGCAATACTCTTTTTATGAAAAAATTAACATATCAAAGACCAATATACCTCCAGCAGCATCAAGCAGCATTTTCAACATGGATCGTGGACCCAAAGTGGTACGAATAATATCGGCAACTGCCTGGCAGACAAAAGTGAAAGACAAAGAGAATCAACTTGGATGAGCAATTTTACAAACAAGATAATTGCATATGTCCCACAAGTAGACACACATTAATATGACTCAATAAGCACACCTCCACCCTCTCCAAATGGGCAACTTAATACCAATCATTTCATAAACTAACAACGCTTTGGCTTTTCATTCAACGTAAATATAGACCACAGAAACACGCATTAATCTTACCTTGGCAGCTTGAATGTTGGCACGCTGTACCTTGCCACCTTGTTCACGCTTCATAGAATCCTCTGCTTAAAACAAACCATCATAAGAACCATTATAACGAAATAGGATCTTCCAAAAAAGTAAACATTAACAAAAACAAAAATCCAAAACGACAAAGACGGCGATCTTTAACAGAAACCCATTACAACATCATATTTAAGCAAAACCCAGAAAAACCAAACAGTCGTTTTTAGCCAAAAAAGGAAAAAGATCGATCTTGTACAACAAAGCCCAAGCCATTAAAATAGAAACAGAGAAAAGGGGACTTACGGAGAACGAGAACTGGGGCATGCATTTTGTCGATTTGATAGTGCCGAACAATGGAGAAGTTAAAAAAGGGGAGCAGCAGAGGGAGCGCCAAGAAGAGGAAGAGGGTTTTTAAAAAGCGAAGGGAAGAGATTCGATTTTAGAGTTAAGAGACTACTATGCTTTCTGCGGTTCTTTTGTCGGTAAGTAGTGTGGGAAACCCTCGAAGGGTTTGGGCTCGGAAGTGTTAACTTCTGGTCATGCCTCCAAAACGAGAAAGTAAGGCTGTTAAGTGGGCCGGGTAAGCCCGGGTTCCGTCCCGTCCCATTCTGGATTCGGTCCCCATCTGACCTGATCCTACGGTACCTGTAGGTAAGGCTGTAAAGTAGGCCGGTTTATGATCGGAATCGGTTCAGGATCGCGGCCAATATGGGTAGTGGGTTTATACGGTCCTAACCGTTTAAGACCGGGATTGGGGTAGGTGGGCTGGTCTTTTGCGCGAGGCCCGCAAGACCGGACCGTTTGGGATCGGGACCGGACCGGTCCTAGCGGGCCTAAACGGTCCCAACGGCTCCAAATTTTAAAAAGAAAAATCTGCCCGTTGGGGCATTTAAAATGTAATCGTTTTCTCTGCCAAAATAGCCGTTGGCTATTTATAAAATAGTCATTTAACCTCCCCAACTTTATTTTAACCCCAAACTTTTTATAATTATACTTTTTCCCTATTTTCAACTATAAATACCTCCTCATTCTTTCATTTTTCTCACAAAATCATCAATCTCTCTCTAATTTTCTTCTATAATTGCTTACTTTATTGTTACAATTTGTGCAAAATTGTGAAGTTGGTGAATTGAAATCTTCAACTCTTCAAGTCTTCAACGATAATTAATTTTCAACAAGTTGTTCGTCAATTCAGTAAACTCGTTCCAGCTCTTAAGTTTTAATATTATAGTTTTGTTTGTTTTATTTACTTTGTATTGCTTGATTAATTAAGATGGCTTATTCCTTAGAAACAATGTTTAGTAAAAATAAGAAAAAATCCAAGAGTGGTGAATCTAGTGGCCAATCTGTTCCTCCTCCACTTCCACCGGCTCCCCGACCCAAATCTGTTACTTGCCCTACACCTCTTATTCTTGATAGCGATAATAGTTTATTACAATTTACCGAGAGTCAATTTTGCCATAATATTGCACCCGGTGAACAATTAAACCATGAATATATGAATGCTCTTTATGGTAATCCAACTATTGATGAAAATGATGATGAAGAAATAGATTTTGATGAAACGCAACCGGATGACGATACACCCACTAGTCCTGCTCCTGAAGTTAACCCAACTAATAATAATCCAAATGATCCCCCGTCTGACCCTCCTGTTACTGCCCCTACTTTTTCTAGACAACCTTCTAAACGGGCAGAAACATCTCTTGTTTGGCCATTTTTTACTCAACTAAGAGAAAAAAATAGGGCTAAGTGTAAAACTTATGGCAAAGAGTTAGTTTTTAAATATGTTGGAAGTCGGGGGAGAGGGGGTGACGGAAAGTTTGACTAGATACATATTGCTCAACCCTCAAGATAAAGCTAGATATTTTTGTATGAAAGTTTTGGCCGAGGGGACAAGTGCACCTAGTCATGCTGACCTTAGTACCGGGTCAAATCAATTTCAACCGGGAATTAACACTGTTACCGGTGGTAGTTTATATTATGATCCAAAAAAAGATCGAGAAGAATTGGCAAAAATGGTTACTGTTATGTGCTTACCCTATAGTTTTCCTTCTAACCCTCACTTTGTGCATTATATTAGAAAAGTTTATAATCCTACTTATAAAGGTTTTTCTCGCACAACCATAAAGAGCGATATTTATAAATATAAACATGAATATGAATAATATTTGCGCTATTTATTTATTCATATAAATTGCCGTGTTGCTATTACAACTGATATTGGTAGAAGTGGTAATGACTGTGATTATATTACTGTTACCAGTCATTGGATTGATGAGGATTGGATAATGCAAAAGTGCATTATTACTTATAGAATAATTAATTCACGTCACACAGGGCAGTTTATTTCTAGCACGGTTACGAATATTTATAGATATTTTTGCATTAGTAATAAAATAATGTCAGTTTCAATGGATAATGCTACTAGTAACACAAATGTTGTAGCATTGCTTACCACTACACTAAGTCCTGCATTTAGTAACATTTTTCATGTTAGATGTATTTGTCATATTTACCATTTAATTGTGGGTGATGGTATGCGAATTTTAAATGTTGAAATTGAAAAGGTTAAAATGGCTCTTAATTGGCTTTTTTATTCAAACCGTAGAAGTAGACTTAGAGAATATTTTAAAAGATGCGATGAATTTGGCATAAGAGAAAGAAAGGTTCCTAAACCTTGTCCAGCTAGATGGAATTACATGTATGAAAGTTTAGTTATTGCATATGAATATAGAAACCCCATAAACCCAACGTTTAATGCTCATGTAAGTGATGATGATGAGCACCTTACAAATGCGGATTGGGTTAATGTTAAAATGCTTGTAGATTTTTTAGAAAAATTTCATATTGCTACAAATGAATTTTCTGGGCAATATTATCCTACTATTTCTAACTGTTTAGTTTATATTGCAGAACTTGCAAATTTGTTTGATCATTTTTAAGAGGGTGGGGAAATTTATCAACTTGCTATTGATTCTATGAGAAAATAGTTTAAAAAATATTTTTTTCGTATTCCCTCTATTTATGGTGTTGATGCACTGTTAAATCCTACTATGAAATTATGAGGTCCTCAATTTTGGTATGAAACTGTTTATAATGGTTTAGCACTTGAAGATGAGGAGTTATCTAAACTACAGGCTGTAGGGGAATGGGAGGGGAGTAGGTGGGGTCGAGAAGGGGATGGGATTAGGTGTTGGTCCCGTTAGGAATGACCTGGCCGGTCTGCTAAAATTCCGGTCCGGACCAATCCCATCACATATATAAGTTCAATCTGGAGAGAAGAGGGGAGAGAAGAGAGAAAAAAGGAAAAGGGCGTAACTAAATCCCTTGATTGAAGGTACTAATAATGGATTAGAAGCCTTTTAAGGTGGAATGTATATAATTTGTAAGTAATCCTTGTTTAGGACGGGTAATATACAAAATTAAAATAATTTTGGTAAATAAGTTTCAAATATTGTATAGGAACGAAAAAATCCCTTTGCAATTTAGCCATTGGGCGACAACCCTAAACGGCCAAAATTGGCTTCCAACCCACCAAAACACCCCTTATCCCCATAATTTATTCTTAATCTCCAAGTTTATAAAATTATACTTTAGCCTAATTCTAAATTATAAATACCTCTTCATCATCTTTAGTTTTTCACGCAAAACTTTTCATTATCTCTTTAACCTCACTTTCTTTCTTTCTAAAATTGCTATCGTGCATTGAAGTATTGACGTTAGTTTTGCTAATTTGCTAATTGAAGTGTTGAATTTATATCATAATTATTATCAAGTTTTTAGAAATTGGGAGTGAAGTTGGCCAATAGTTCTTATCCAATTATTGAAAATTGAGAGTAAAGTTGGCAACTAGTTTAAGGTCGATTGAGCAAGTTTCAACAACCTTACTTATACGTCAGTATTTAAGTCAGCGTTTGGTACATTCGTTCCATCTCTATCTGTTTAATTATTGTTATTTACTTTTGATTGTCGTACTTAATTTCATTATAATGTCTAGATTTATTTCGGTGAAAATAGAGGTAAGGGGAAGATGGTGAATCTAGTCATCCTAATTTTATAGATGATTACACTCACGTCTGTATTAGGTAAAATATGTTATGGCGCGTGGCCACTCAAGAAGGAGAAACGTGGAACCTAAACCGGGAGGACGAAAAATTGGACGCAGATATCCCGTGTGTCACCGAAAAAGATAACGTTCGTGAAGGCATTGAATACTCTACGCCCGGTAGCATTCAATAAGGAATATTCCACAAGCATTAAAGAGAAACAGCCCGTTACAGAGAATTTGGCATTTATGTTCACCCTTACGTCTTCATCAATGCTCCCCATAATTAACATTAAAGAAGGGCATGACCCTAGTACCTTCTTCATAACTATAAATAATAAGCTAAATGATCATTGTAAGGGACACAAATTTTTTGGCTAACTTATACTACATTCTATACAGAATTTTAATACCATTTTATTTTTTCGCTTTTTGATCTCATCATTATTGTGCCCGGAAATCCTATTCCCGGACTCGTCAATTCTGTCATTTCATCTACATTCTAAAGCTAAGTATTTTATATTTCATCAGTTATTTCGTTATTTTTTGGATCAAATTAATTCACTTGTCTAGAAACTACAAATAAATTCAACTATACCATTTTACAGGTAAACAGTTTGGCGCCCACCGTGGGGCCTAGATATTCGTGCAATCAAATTGATCCTTGCCTTTTTTACTAACGTGTTTTGATTACTTTGTCTTAGCAAAAAATGGCAGATAACACTGTTAACGGCACACGCAACCCTGAAATTCAAGGGGAACAACCTCATTTCGAGGATTCAATCAGTGACACTTGCAATGAAGGGAACGACGCCACACTGGTACATGACAGGAGGTACCTGATCTCGTCCAATTTCACACCTCAATTCAAGGTTATGAAACTGTCAAATGCAATGATAGTACCCAACAAGAGTTAGGATTGATTTCCACAGGGAGCTATATATGGGAGTTAGGAGTATATATTGTAGTATATGAATTTGACTATCTCAATTTACACTTCCACAAATTGGAGTTGTTTTTAAGTCTAATTTAAAACTAAGAGTGCAAGTTGAGAAATACAACTAAGAAATTATTTTTGTTATTTTTCGAGTTTTGTAAAAAGTATAGGGCTATGACCATCGCATAGGTATTTGCCTAATGAGATATAAACCTTAATGCTTGTTTTATTGATCGGGGTATATTATAGCTATCAACACTCAATTACCCACTCAATACCTCTCGGCCAGATAGTGATTTTACCCAATTTGACTTTCTCAAGTCCAAATGGGTATTGCACAAAATGGTAGATAAAAGCTCAAGTCGGGTTATTACTATCTCTAGGTTGAACCCTTTAATTGGGATTATCAATCTCTCGATTGACCCAATTTCTTGTTAGCCAAGTTTTTCTAGACTAAGTCTCTCTTTTTC